CCGGAAGTCACTATGTTAATCTGTTAATCATAAAAATAGAGAATGAAGTCAAGTGAAGACGATGGGAGTATGGTGACCACTTGAAATCACATTACCTATGGCCGTTCTCTCTGCATGAAATCAAGAAAAGAATGTCATTTGCAATTTGATCTTCGTTTTTGTGTTCGTATTTCTTCAACTCATATGATATATTCAACGTAAAAGAAAAAAAAAAGTAAATCTGATTTCTATTAATCCAATCTTATCTCTTCCATAACAAAACATACCGACATAAAAAATTCATTAATTTTATGCTTTAACACTTTATTGACAAAAAAACAAAAATATATTAAAGAATAATGTTTGATCTCATAAAAATGATGAGCATCGTGTATTATGAATACCCGTCGGCAATAATTATATATGTGCTCATTTCTTTGATCGTGATGTGCAAGTTATTTGTATGAAAAAGAAAAGGCGATAGGTGAATAAACACGCATGTAAATACAAGGTGGAGCTGCATTAAATGTTATAATTGAAAAAAACAATTTCTTTATTGACGAAAAGTATGTGACACATACGCATATAGCTCTATATATTTATTTGACTTTGGAAATTAGACAAGATTGTGTCGGTATATATGAAGAAGGATATTTAACATTCATTTACACATTCAAAGTATTGGAGTTACTACATGAACATCCTTCCGGTCACAAATAGCAATCACCAAATTTTATAATTTAAAATAAATTATCTTAATGTCAATTAAAAATAATATTAAGCAACAATTTTTTTTAAAATAAATTATGATTTGTGAAATAAACTTCTGTTTCAAAGATTAAAAGATATTTCAAGCGTATCTTTTTTAATATTTTCGTCACAGTGAGTTGTATATTGATTAAAATATAAGCGGTGATGAAAAAAAAAGTAAGACGAAGAATCAAATGATCATTTTGATAGTAGGTGAAAGATAACACTTTTGTGCTGATTAGACTCTTCACATGATATTCCTGATCTTCAAGATGTACACAGCAGGAAGATTGCATGGTTGATATAAATATAAATCTAATGCAAAATTTAAACGAATGCCGGCAATATTGTTTTACATATCACCTATATTGACACTGTCTGCGAAATAAAATTGATTATATATGAGCTGTAACCGATTGCTTTATAATTTATTGCTATTGTTGTAAAAAAAAAAAAAAAAAGAGGCAAATTTTAGGTGTTAATGAGAAAGTAAGAAGAAGTAGTATTAGTTGCCGATGCATGACGTGTAACACATACATTGTTTTTGAATTATAGTCAAGAAATATTTCTATTTCCATGAATATGTGAGAGATGAGAATAAAAAAAAACGAGGTGTACTTTTTTCCCACTTCACTTGACTTCATTTCCATTTTTAGATTAACTTTTTTTTTTGGCTTATACACTTCTCGATAATTGTATAGCGTGCATAAGCAGAGATTATTAAGGCTGACTGAGTGTATGTCGCCCTATTGCGAGAAAATGAGAATGATTCTATAAGTGTAAATGAATGAACGGAAAAGATCGATAGTGGCTGATTGTAAGGATCAGTATGTCGAACATAAGAGCGCCAAAAGCACGTGATGTTGAAGTGTTATTATGATTGATAAAATGGACAATCAAATGTTAATGTGCATAAATTATATATTGCCGTATTCGATTTTTAAGAATCTAAAAAAATCAATGAAGGCATATTTATTCAAATGACTTCGATATATCTAATATTGCAAATTCAAATTTGATTAAAAAAAACGGTTCTAAGATGAGACACACTTGTACTACTCTGAATTAGAAATGGACAATATCTTGACAAATCATATTTATTATCAATTGAGTTTCATTTAGAGATTATCGAAGCAGAGTCTGCTAAAAACATCAGAAATTTAAATAGCCCATGTGAACTACCTGTTGGTCTGTCTGAAAGAGGAAGTGACATTTGTAAATATACAAGAAAAAAAATTATTTTTTAAGCAAGAAATAGAATTATGATAAGACATAATAAAGTATCTATGCTATTGAAAGGTAAAAAAATTAAATTTGATCATTTTGACTACGTATAATTATGATTATATAGTAATGTTTAATGATTATATTGATCATTTATTACAGTGGTCGGTCGGGGGTTTTTTTTCTTAACGTATAATTCGAAATTTCTATTCTCTATCGTGATGATCTAAAGATCGGAGAGTTGTACGATTTTGATTCAAACGTTGTTACAGAGTTTCGTATTCCTATATGATCAACGTTTTTCGAAGTTTTGATATAAAGTTCCTTTCGTTCTTAATGTGTTTCATAAAATAATGATTTTGAATTGAAAACTCTGTTTGTTTCCGAGATGATGAAAATGAGTTTCAGCAACAATAGTGATTAAGTGGAATATTACTGCTATCTTTCGAAATTTTGGTTATATCCGACGTCGTTAATTGAAATTTAAAATTTTTTCTTATGTCTCATTTTCTGAACGAAACCTAAATTGTTGACTGCGCATGAATATATAATTGATTTTATTTTTTTTTCTGCTGGATAACAGTAGTTGAGTATTGTTAGAGAATCTACAATGCTAGTTAGGTATAGGGCTGGTTTCTATTGATTAAACGAAAATCATGTCATAGTTCTTAGTTTTCGAAGAATGTTTGATTTATCGTATGTTATTTCCAATCATTATTTGTTGATTTTACTTATATACCGAGAAATAATAATTGAAATAAATTCATTGAACTATTCATCATCGAATTTTGATTTTCTAGAAGATAGTTGCACAATATGTTTGAAAAACAATATTTCGAAATGAACATGAAAATTAAGATAAATTTTTCAACTAGATATAGATTACAATGGCATACTAACAAAAGGACAGAGGAATATCATACCCGTTATGTCTCATATTAAAAGCAAATTAATAATGCTAGTTTCATATAATTTTTTCTTGAGAATAGGGCGAAATCATGGATATAAAAAATACTCTTTGTATTTAATGATAGAATCGATTCATTTTTCATTCAAAAATAAATTTTGGTGACACTAACAACTATATACGTATAGGTTTATTGGCTTTATATGCTATGGTAATATCGATTGAAAAGAAAGAAAAAACCTTTTAAAATAAGAATTCATCATGCGTTTTCAAACAAGAATGTATACTGTTCTATTGCTATTTACAATAACATTTCTTCTAGTTTCAATCCTATTCATTCTTCCAGAAACCCTAAAACGAACTCTCAAAATCCTGTCTCGACTCCTAGCAGTTTTTGTTTGCAGAATTCATTATGGTTAAACAGAATTTTTGTTAGGATTTATGCGATTTTCTGCTGAGATACTTTCTGAATTGAGAATGCAAAATCTTCCTAAATCTCACTCTTAATCCTACTTAGGATTTTGACAAAAATATCAGAAAAGATCCTGTCCACATTTTTGTCAGGTTTATGTCAGAATATCGTGTAATTGTACAAATGTACGACATTACAATAAATAATCTTTGGTTATGCCATCATCACTCAGTTATCTCTCACTTTTTTAAATGCATTATTTATTATGATACAAAAATGGTTGTTTGATCCTCATTCTTCTTTGATTTATACTTATATTGTCGTAAAATATTTGACCTTTGTATGGATTTCTTAGCTTTTGAAAAATGTATAGCGTTCATATTAATAAACGTGTTGTTTGTTCATCTCATTTCAATATACGTGAGTTCTTTGTTTTCCTATTAAAACACTCTTCTATCGCTACTCATTTGTCATGATACTATTAGTATACAAAAAAAGGCATAAACAGGGTAAACCAAATAAGAGACTGAAAAGAATGTACGATAGGCAACGGCAATGTAAAATGATCCATAGTTTATCATGAGCTGGTTAGACTTATGAAAATTCGACCTTTTTTTGTATCCTGATAATAAATTGTTGTTGTGAAAAATTTTCAACTAGTTGTTTTCGTTTTATTTTTATTTAAGAAGTGCTTTAAAACAATTAGGACCGATATTTTAGAGCAATAGTCGTTTCATTCTCATCCCAACATGTGGGACTCATCAGGAATGCAATGAGACTGAGTTCAATGCAACAGAAACAAAACATGCTATCAAACTTGCCTCGTTGGATCTACTTTTATCAGATACTGATAATATACTTTGATACCATCATCAGACAATAAAATAGGACTATTATTTTCGTGTTATAGTAGTTCAAAGCAAATGTGAACGTTTCTTGACTTTCAGAAGTTCATGTGAGCCTTAGCAAACTTCATGTTAATACAATATATTCAAACCATTGAATGAAAGTGCACTTTTCTAGATAAGTTTCCGAGATATGAAGTGTAATACTTTGGTAACATGAGCCAATCTCATTTAATCATTTTTGATGAGTTAAAGCAGGTTAATATACATATAAATTCTAAGAATACTATGCATGATTTGATACCATGAAAGATAAGAGAAGAACCTTTTTTGAATTTTACTCTTTCAACGTTCCTCTAGGATTTTCACAGTTACATACAAGTAGTGTCGCCATTTCTTGAACTGTTTCTGCTTTAATGCAGTGAGGCTTGTACGGACGTTAGGTAGTCAACTCGTAATATTTGTAAAGTCCATTGTATAAAAATTGTCATTAACGTAAGTTGCATTGTGTTATTCAGCGTGAGAGTCGAGATAGCCATGTCTCTCTGAAGATCGGGTTCATTCTTTCGGATTGAGGTCATTGTGTCACGTATTAAGTTTGTATGCTCTCAAAAAATAAGTGTTAACTCTCTCGAAGTCTTGATTCTCCTCTCAGAAAGATAAAATCTACATAGAACACTGATAAGTTGCTAGAACCATACATTTCTAAGTAAAAGAAAAGTAAACTATGTGTATTATGAGTAATTAAGAAGTTCAGCAATGTAAGCAGTTCCAAAAAAAGGTTATTATTATGATATAGTATTACGTTTTATTTTTATTTTACAGAAAATAGGAAAAAAATTGACCTAGATTTAAGTCATGAATCAATATGAAAAAATGTTAATTAAAGTGACAGCATTCCACTTTTTTGCATTTGTTCTCTTAATAGTATAATACTTGCACGTTGATCAGCTGGTAATTGAGCAATTTGAGCTTCACTCAATTGTAATACTTGCATTAATAATTGAGCTTTTTCTTGATCAGTACGTGATAGAGGTGAACTACCAGTTATAGCCGAAGTTGGCTGTTGAATAGGTGCTGTTGTTATTGGAAAATTCATTGGTGGCATTTGTGGATGGAATGGAGGTGGTGGAACAATTGGTAAAGGTGGTTGTGGTACAAGAGATGGTGATGCTTGAAATGGAGGATTAGGCATTAAACCACTAACAAGATTAGGTGGTGCTGGTGAAGAATTACTCATAAGATTTATTGATGGAATATCTGGTCGTTTATGAAGCATATTAGCAGCTTCACTTGGTTGAATAAGACCCATAATAACAAGTGATTGTAACATAGCATAGGTTAATTGTGGATTTTGTATAAGAATATTTCGTGCTTCTGTTGGATATTCTTTAATAATTATTTGCATTTGTTTCATTAAATCAACAACTTGTTCAGGTGGAAGATTAACTAAAAAAAAAAACAAAAAGATCAACATTTCAAATAAGGATTTCTTTGTTTTTTAAAAATTATACCAATTGTTCGAGCAATAACTTCCGGAACTTTATCTGGAGTTACATTAACACTTTGAACTGTTTCAAATGCTGGTGTACCAATAGTTGTTTGTTGATGTAGTAATCGTAATTCATCAGCTTGTGATGATGCTTTATCTACTCGTAATGATCGACCACCAAATTCAAAACCATTTAAATTTCGTATTGCACTTTGAGCCATATCTACATCTATTAAAATAAGAATTTTTTTGAAGATTTTTTTTCTTTTGTGAGTAATTAAAATTGTTTCTTTTTACCTGCATATTCAGCAAATCCATATCCTTTTGGATTTCCAGTTTCACGATCAAATACAATACGAAATGATAATACAGGTCCAATAACAGAAAATATTTCTTTCATTTGATCTTCTGTTGTTCCATGAGGAATATTACCGACAAAGACTGATCGTGCTTGTTTTTCTTCAACAGACATTCGAATAAAAAAATCTAGAAATAAAAATTTATATCAAATTTATGCTTATTTATTATTTTTAATAAAATTAAATTATTCTTTACATTAATTATTTATTTATTGAAATGCTAAAAAATCATTTCTTAGAAAATACATAGAGAATGAAAATATTCTCAATCCGATAAACGGAAGAATATATACCTAATATCAATCAATGCTAACTTCTGATTCCTTTCATCTCTCATTACAATACTGGGACAAATAATATTCCGCTTAGAATATGTTCAAATTAGTTTCAAATGCAAGCTTCTTTCTTCAAACATATACGAATGTTTTTCTTCAGTGGAATTTCGAATTCTATATCGAATCAACACAATGTTTTGCCGAAAACTCTATTTTAACATGTGAAGTATTTTTGAATAGTAAGTTTTGTTCTTTGATATTTACTGTACAAACTGATACATTTTGGAGGTTCTAAAGACATCATCTTATAGACATGAAAGAAATTAGAATTGGAATTTCACTCCTACTTTGTTTCATGCCGAATGCTTTTATAAGACATTATTAGAACTTCCAACATACATCAGTTTGTACAGCAAATATTAGAGAACAAAACTTACTACTCAAAATATCTCAAATATCAAGTATTATTTGTCGACAAAAAAAAACTAGTCGGCTTCGGGTGATAAAGTTTCAACGTTTTATTGTTTTTAGCTCACCGATTTTCAAAAAACCTTTTGATCAGTCCCTTGAGTCATTGAGTTCCCCTCAATCCTGGGTACCTTTACAAATTGTTTGATTCACTTAAGAAATATAAATTCTTAAATAATCAAATTTTGAATTCTACAAATATATACTCTATAAAATTAACCAAATTGTGCTTTCTTACATAATAATCTTAATATAAAAATTAGAAATACACGATCTCTTCGTAGAAATGTCTTTTACATCATGGGAAACTATGCTGATTTAGCCGAGTTGAGAAAATCTCTTGTCGTTGGTTTTGACAACGATGACTCATTCTAAATGACATATGATTGGTAGATGGCATCCATTCGACTTGTTTTGGTACTTTTTTTTTTGTTTTGAAGACATGCAAAATGCATGAATGATTTATTAAATGTTTAAAAAACGAACCAATTATAATGAAAAAAAGAGAAGAACAAAAAAATGGAAATCATTTGTTGTTGAATGAACTCTCGCAATGTCTTTTGTTGATTAACGATAGTAAGATATGAGTGCACATGAGGTTTGTTTCATTAAATTTGCTGTTATTTATTTTTTCTCAAGGTTACATAACGATTGAAAAACTAGAAAGAGCGAGTGGCTAAAAAATGTCATGTGCCATTATTATTATTATTATTATTATTGTTATTATTTTCGTAATATATTTCTTTAGGTGATTAATTTTAGGAAAATTTAAGAATAGTTGATTTTGAAGATTATATGAAAGAAAAAAAAAAAAGGAAAATAGAAAGATTCATTTCTCGTTTTTTTTGTTTGGTTATATTCTATTGCAGTTATTTTTTCTTCTATATATTCAAGACAAAATTTATTATTACTTATCGATTGATTGTCAAAATATTTCAATGATTACTACTAGTACATCAAAAGGTAAGGATTCCATCAAATGAAATGAAATAACGAATGTGATCTAACTATATTGACAAAAGATACTCACATATATTCAAGCTTAATTCAGAAAAAGAAGATATGATGTTTTATATTCAGTCTTTACTTTTATTGTTCATATGGTAGCTCAAAGCATCTTCAGCGAAATATTTCAAGCTATTAAATTTTAAAATATTCACGATAGCAATAAGAGCAATGCAAATTATTAAATCTTCTGGATGACTACTGGCGCCCTCTATCAAAATGGTAAAAGGCTATGCGAAGCGGGATAATAAGTCGTATAGAACTGTTTAGCTTACGCAAAATTACACTTAAACAATCTTTTGAAGTCATCTTACGAAGAAGAAAAAGCTAATCTAATGATCAATAGGACCATAAACAAGCTATTCGATCGGTTCCAATGATATTAATCAATATTGTTGGTTGCAAGATTTTAACTAGGAAATAACGGCGTGTATTTCAAATGAGATATTGGATTCAGAATCACTTTCTTCTTAAATAATAGTGAAAAGACGTTCACATATGAGAACAAGAGAGAGATCAACTCATTGGTTATAGAGATGGCGCATCTTCAATTTAGTTCATATGCGACAGTATTGCTCCTATCTCAATTCGATGTAATTTATGTGTTATGATAGTCCGTGTTAGACGTGATCTATATGTTTAAACTGTCTAAATTAAAAACTAACATCAGATGAGTTCGTATAATGAAAATTATTCTAATAAAGTAATGAGTTTTCCTTCAAAGGCGACATTAAATTAAACTACTTATCTAAAAGAAAGAAGTTTTTATGTTATTTTAATAAATTGTCTTATTTATCTCCAAATTATAATGATTATTTCGCGCCAAACTTTATTTTTAAAAAGAGATAATAGTTTTGTTATCTTGTCGTTTTTGTCATACATGATGAATCTTATGAAAACAGGTGTGATAATATCCTATAACAACTATAATATTGTATCAGACACATTCGTGTACTTGATTTCATCTGTCAGTTCACATAACTCTTTTTTTGTGTTCTGGATTTCAGGTCCACTGAACGATGATCATACATCCGATGATAATAATAAAAAAGATACAAGTTCATCAACCTATTTACAGTAAAGCTAAAACTGTTTTTTTTTATTGGGATATATAAAATATAAATAATTACTTTATTTTAGAGAAGATGAAGATGATCCATTTACTTTTCGTAGTCGTAAATCGTATCCACAACGAAATAATCGACCAAAATTAAATTATCGTGATCTTGAAAGAGGTCTATATGATGCACGTGAACTTCGACAATCTATGTGGGCACTTGGTGGTCCGACAGTATTGGAAAAGAATGATCGTAGTAGTAAAAATTCGAATACTATAGGATTTAGTGATGATGAAGATGAAGAAGGAGATATGAATGCTAATGAAGAAAATAATGAAATGTTAGTTCAACAAAATGATAAATCAAATGATGATACTGAACAAATGCATCGTCGTCTTTGGTGTATATGTAAAAAACCATGGGATCATTCAAGAGTTATGCTTCGATGTGATTCATGTGCCAATTGGTATCATGGAGATTGGTAAAGAAATTCATTACTCATTAGATGTTTCTTTTTGAAATGATTTTGTTTTATTTAATTTAGTATTGGTGTTACTAAAGAACAAGCAAGAGTTCTTGATATGAATGGTGATCAATTCGTTTGTCCACCATGTCAAGGTATGATAATTGATTAAACAAATTATTAGAAAGATTTGAATTACAGCACTTAGTAGTAAAGAATTTGATATGTTATATAATATAATTCATAGATGAGTGTTGTTCTTTTTAATATGAAATGGAATAAAAGTTTTCTAGATTTAATTTCCATTGTATGGATGCAAGTAATAGAAGACATCGGATCTTCCATCATGAGAATTTTTCCAGAGGGGATCTTCTTTTATGTCTTATTTATTTTCATAATTTTTAATTGAAGGAACTTTTCAAAAAAAAAGCAAAGAGATTCTGATGTGTGTTCAAAGATTTTTAAGCTTAAAACTCTGACAACAAGGCATATTTTGATGTAAATATGCTCCGTATTTAAAATTTCGATTTTGCAAGAAATTAATTAATTAAGGGAGGTGTTCTATTACATCTGGCGCAATGTTTCTTCTAAAAGGATTTTTCTAGAAAGATGTTTTATGCGAAAATACAATCATTAAGCTTTCTGAAGATGAGTTGAAAGAGCGAAAATTTGAGGTTTGTCTGTCGAGGTGCCATATTGCTTTTTGACTGAGATGATGTTTATTTGATGACTAATAGAAAAGTCTGGAATGGTTTGATTTTCTGGATCTTCATTCCCGACGTATCAGAATGTTATAGAGTTTTTCAACTAAAAGCTGTAGTCACGTGAAAAATCGACTTTCGACTTCAAATTTTGCACGAACAAAGTTCTTAATGACGATTTTTCATATGACCTAAGGGAGGAAAACAGAGTAAAATTTCGACTGTCAAGAAAAAGGACTAGAAAATCAAACCATTCTATACTGTTTTATTAATCATCAACTACACATCGCCTTAGTTGAAAAGCGATTTAAAACTTCGAAAGCTGTCCTTAAACATTTAAATGTCTCTTGCAAATTTATCTTGTTAAGTTTAGAATGAAATGCTTATTGTTCAATTATTTCTTATCTGTAAACAACTAGCTATTATACCATTACAAAATCATACATCATCATTACTTGATAATTATATAATTAGATTCAATTTTTTTTTGAATGTTTCTATGTGAGAATAGTTTCAGTTCATATATTATTTAAGTAGGAGTAACATCAAGTTCAGGAATAAAACCTGGAAGATCATCCGATGAATCCTTAACGATCAAACGAAAACGTATAGATGTTGTATCGCCAAGTGATCGTAAAGTTGGAGAGAGAAATGGAAATTTAATTTCATCAAAAAATCTAACAAATTCTGAACCATCAAAACGACCAAAAACAGGAATCTTCTTTCAACGTGATCCATTAGCAGTATGTATTTAAATTTATTTTTCTGTTTATACCCTTGAATTCTTTTTGATTTTATAGGAACCACAAATTCATTGTATTGTACACGGTTGTAGTAATTGGGCAAAATCCGGTTGGGTATATTGTTCACCGGCATGTATTCGCCGTCACATAAATGATACTCTTCAAGCTATTCAACGAAGTAAAGGAACGGTATGTTATTTTTTTTCACAAGAAAAGAAAGAAATCCTGATTAATTATATTTATTGTTTAAAACAGAATAATGACAATCCACCATCTCGTGAAGATATATTATTATATGAAAATCGAACAAAAAAAGTTCTTGATAGAAAATTAGTTCCTAAAATCGAAGATTTATGTACATGGATAAATCAACATCCATCATATGAAATTGTTAAACCAG